TTGATAAACTTTAAAAGGACAATTTCAACAGCTATTCGCTGTCGTGCTTCAAAAAGGTTACTCTTTTCCAATTCTACAGAATTTTCACTTTCAGTTGCTAGCCACATTGCACTGAATCTTTGAAATACGGTTTTGAATTAAAAATATCTTAGAAAATTATAAATCCTGACGTCAGAAAAAAAAAACTAAAAAGGCAGTTTTATCATATTTGCCACTGGTCTCGTAAGAAAATTGATTTTCTCTTGTGGGAAAATCTTTACCGTTGCACGGTGTTATACTTTGAAAATAAGGAAAATTATTATTTATTATTTTATTGTTAAAAACTCATTACCTGGAATTCAGAAAGCGTTGAAGGAAGGACAATAATCACTTCATAAGACTTCGGCCTACCTAGTACTTATCGAAAGATTCAATGGCAACTAACTAACTAAGGATTTATGACAAATTTGTCTATTGTTCTTTTAAATATAGTCCAATCATATGAAGTTTTGGTGCTATAAATTATTGCGAATAAATATTTTTAGCATTACACACATACTCTGGCTTAATATACATGCTTTGTATACACTCTTTAAATCCTCTTCTTCCTATTTGGCACTCTTTAAATCACTGCAAACTTAAATTAACCACCCAAAAATTCCATTCAGACTATTTTCGTTAGCCGCAGACAAGCGTTTCACATAAAGACAGATGAAGCGACATGGACTGAATGAAACGGCGAAATCCTCTAGGGACTAACCATCAGTGTTACAAGCAAAGTCACTTTGCACCAGCAAATCGTAATTTTTTTATTTGCTTTTGTGTTGACGTTTTGCTGTTATTGTTGTATACTGGCATAGTTTGCCAGTGCTGTAAGTGATATGCAGGATTTTTGTTTGCCAGGAAGATAGAACATTTAACATAGGATTATTTGGTGGTAGCAAGAAACAAAAACAAAAAATTTATTTCAGCGTTTTCTTATTTTGAATGCATTACTTTCCTTTTGACATTCCGTAGCTTTTTGTTCTTTTTGTAGTTTTACGTATAAAGGTAAATCTGCGAACTTGTCTAAGTTGCCATCAAAAATTATAGAAGTATGTAGCTCTGTGCCTTTAACTTTGTCAGTATATTACTTGGGTAAGATTCAAGAAAAATATAAAGCGGCTGGCTGGATGAATCTGAAATAAAAATCCTATATAAATAGTACATATAATCCTCATCAATGAGTACATATTAAAGGCTATGAGAGAACAGAATTTTCCACAAATTAAAGTTGCACTTGGAGTAGTTAGAAGGGCGAAATAGCATTCGACAGTATTCAGGCACAATCACTGGTTCGCGCAACATCTTAAAATAACGACACATTTTAAGTGCTATCGCGTCTCTTTTATGAATCTGCCATAAAAAGGTTCTTCACAAAAATCCCTTTTTCGTTTGTATGCAATAGACAATTTTAGCAGGTTTTTCCACTTTAAAACTATTTTTCCCACCAAACTTATAATTATAAAAACTATAGCCTGTTATTCGATAAACATTTTTCCTGCTGATCCTAAGCATGACCCACTTATAACTGGTGAAGTGATAAGTGCGAGAAAAAAGATTTGACACTATATGGTTTTAGAATTTGCCTTCAACAATCGGCATCGAAACAGTAAACCCCTAGAACAGGCGCTTTCCCGGCGGAATTGTTCAAATCCGGCGCCTGAGGGCTGGTAGGGAGCAGCTACCAGAATTTGGTCTGTTGAATACATTGGAATGATGAGCTATACGAGCTTATTAACGTCATGGACATAGCGTCGTCTGGGTAGCTTCTTTGGGAAATCGCGATTGAAGATTGTGATTAAACTTAGTACTCAACTAACGACAATTTTTACTCAATATCTCGGAAACTAAAGGAGATACCCAAAAACCGATGGTCAATCAGGCTTTATTCAATCGACAGACTCCGTCTTTTGATCAAAACGTTTTACCGTTTAAGACCCACTTAAAACTCGAGAATCGCAATCAGTTGAGTTTTCTACGTAATAGAGTGGTCCAAAAACAATGAAGTCGGCATTATAATGCCGCCACCACCTAGCACATTGGGACACATCGTGGGACATAAGTTGTTTCACATTTGACCTTGCAGTGCGACACTAAATAAAACTTTGTTTTTAGAGTAGTCTGATATTAACAAAACATTTGGTTCAAATTTTCATAGCGCTATGTTGACTTTTGTCCGTTTTATGCTTAAAACTCTTATGTATATATATTTTGTGTTCGTTGAAACCCAACTTGGGCTGCGGTGAAGATTTTCGTCAAATTCGCTTGCCACTCAATGTGTTGATATGTAAAAGAGGAGCGGCAACGATAGCTGGAAGTATGGGTGGGGAAGCACAATTCAAGGAGTTTACAAGTAAAAGGCCACTTACACTTACACACACATACTACTTGCAGGTAGCTGGAGGCCATCGAATCGTGCTGTCGGAAGGTAAATGGTTGTGGAATTAATACCACTTCTATGAGTTCCTCCTTTGAGTGAATGTTTTGTATACACAAACACACACGTGTATACGTGTGTATATGTAACTCCTTCACTGCTTGTTTGTGCGATAGATTTGAAGGTTTACAAATTATTGTCCAACTTCTCGTTATAGCATTTGTACGGAGGTATTTACATATGTACATTAATTTGTAGGTAAATATACATTGACTTGCCATATATGAATGTGACTATATACAAACATATGTAAATGGGTCAGTCCATGTCAAATCGACCAATGGTTGCGATCGGCCATTTTTGAATTGAATGAATTATGGGCGGAACTTTTATTTTACACTATAACGAAGTGCTGCCAAAGAAAAAGAAGTAAACACAATTTTTCGAAAGTTCTAAATTTTACAATTTCCCTGATTTTGCAAGTTAAATTTTTTAATATCTACACAACTATTCTAGTGGCAAAAATGGCCCTGGATGCGTTTTGAAGCTAATACTTGAGGCTATACATATTATATTAAAAAAAAAAAATCTAAAAAATACAGAATGTTGAATTTTAAACAAACATAAAACTTATATACAATTTTAGCTCATTTCTTTACACAATACCTCCCACTGTTTTTATGAACTTTGAAAAAAAAAAGAATAAATTTAGGGTTTGGAAAAAAAACAGAGCTCAATAATTTATGTCTTAAAAAACACCTTGAAAATTTCAGGAAATTTTGTGATGTATATTTTGT